GGCTGCATATTGTTGTAGCTATTATTGGAACCTTCTAGACATGGTCATGGGCCGACCCAGCCAGTCGGTTCGGCCCGAACCAACACAAACTGGCCCGTTGACCATAGGTCTTGATTAGCCCATGGTTTTGACTAGTTCGGTTCATGTACAATACTTTATAGTTTATACATTTTGAACATGCCGTTTCGGTTCCGAATTGGAATCGAAATCCGAGGTTCTGCCTTTTTTTTTAAAAAAAAATATTATTTTAATTATTTTTTTTAATAAATTGGCCGACCAATAACCGACAGTTCAATGAACCGGCCCGTACATATGTTCGCGCCAGTTCATGGTCCTCCAACTCTCGGCCAGGTATTGACGATATCGACCTGTAACCAGTTTTGGTTATGATTAGAAACAAAATATCATTTAACATATGTCTATTTGAATAGGGAAAACTCAATCTCGAATCGCTTTTATATATAAACAAGCCAAACTCAAATAGCTAATCAAACTTGTCGATCAAATAAATAGAGTCAAACATGTTTGCAATCAACTCTTTACGAGATTTTTCTTTGTCTAGGAAATGATGCCGAGTCAATTATTGGATGCGAAATCAACAAAAAAATAAATAAATAAATAAATAAAAATGGATAACGGACTGTGGACTTAGACGAACCCAATTAAATAGCCCGTTGGAGAAGTCTGTGTCAAGCTTAATTATCCAGCTCATTTGATATTTATCAAGTCAACCGATTAAAAATTTAAAAGGCAAGAATGTGTTGGGTCACATTATAAACTTAAGCGATAAATTCTAATAAGGTCATAATTGTCATTTGACAATAAAAGATTGTACTTTTTCTTCACTACAATCATCATTTTTTCACCATTGTTGTCAGATAAAAAATTCCATGGAATCATAAAAAATTCCATGGGACTAATGAGTCTATGTATAAATTTTTTTAGAAAATAAGATTAGCAAAAATAAGGTTAGCAAAAAATTACATGAGGCTGGAGCCCACCCTAACCTTAGGGTGGCTCCGCCCCTGTGCCCGTTGGATGAATGACACGTGTACAAATATGACATCATCATTTACACGTGTCATTCATCCAACAGAGTAGAACTTAATGGAACATGAAAAGTGGAGTAGGAAATCTCATTCTGTAGTTAAGAAAGAGATGCATACCTTATTCCGTGTCCCGGACCACATGCTATGTTTTTTATTCGAACATCCGAAGTGCCACCGTTAATGGCAATGCAGTCGTCCCCTCCAGGACATTTCATATGAGTTGTAAAAAAGTAAAACAGTAAAAAAATAATAATAATTGACGAGTCGTAAAAGTATGTGTTACCGGTTGCCATGACACAATTGAGAACATCGAGGTTTGTTGAGGCGCTTATGTCGATTCCGTCCGTGTTGGGGCTCGTCTGAGGGGCTCTAATGTCGAGACGCGAGATTCTTGCATAGTCGCACTCGTTTAGCGAAATGTGGTTCCTTTGGCTGTTGATGTATTTCAATCCTCTAACTTGGAGTTTCTTGCATCGCGAAAATCGCATTGCCTT